TTTTATGCTTCTGCTATCACCTTTTTATGTTTAGCTTTCAACTGAGATACGAACGATTTCACTTGCGATTCTGTAGGGAAGGTTGAAGCATTACGAAAGACAGCAGTAGGATGAGCAGACAGCAACACTATGAAAGCAGCTACAGGCATAATATTGTACTCAGCTTACTGCACAATATCTACCAAGGTGGTTCTAAATGGTTCCTGAATTTCTCTGCATGCCATTTGGAGACTTCCATGCTTTTCGTGCTTGGCCATTAAGCTCACGATGAGCTGATTTATTTCAGTCATCTTACCACTTCAAATCACTTTTTGCAGCCCCAATGCTAAAAGAGTGTGGAAAATGACTTCTCTTTAGCAAATAAAAATGTCCAAAAAATTTCAGTTCAAATTAAGAAAAACCAGACTGTTTTTTTTTAAACAAAAATGTCCCCCACTGGCTTGTGAGGGGCCTGTTATATTACCTTATACAATTCAGAACTTAAAACTTATATAATATTAAATCTTGACTTATTAAGTACATTTTTAAGCCAAGTTTATTTGTATACCTTGATAATAAAGTAGTTTAATTAAATTTTGAATGTAACTCTCTAAAAAGTCATGACATGCTCACTTTGACCTGCTGATAGCGAGAAGGTTAGCTGCTTTTAAAATAAAAGAACAAAAACAAAACAGGATTATGAAATAAAACGAAACGGTGGATTATGACATTAAAAACTGGAAATATTCTGCTAAAATTGGAGATGTTGGTATCTGAAAATGCTACAAAGAAAATATTCAATAGAGAACTTAAGAGTGATGTTTCAGGATTAACATTCTCAACAGAGAAAATCACATATAAAAAGTTAAAAGATAATCTTCAGTAAATGGAAATAAAGTTCAAAATACAAATAACAAAAGCCATCCTTGTATCTGCCCTTTTTTTTATATAAGAAAATTTTATGTATTATTTCAAACTAGAGGACAAAAAATGTACACTTGAGATAGATACTGTACATACAGAATGAAGTACTTAAATAATCACTCCAAGAAACATACCAGGTTACCACCATTTTTGCAAACCTCACATGGCTTTGTCTTCTTTACAGGACTATTTGCTTCTCTGCCATCTTCAAGTACTTCTGTTATTACAAATGCAAAAACGACGTTAAGTTTATTGCCATAAATACTTTTATTATGTATTCATACAAAATTAAATATAAACATTTAGCTCAGCTGCTACAGCACTCGCCTGGCACATGAGAGGTCCCATTTCAATCCTGCTCAAGGATAATGTAAAAATTGAATTTTATCATAGAAGTTCTTTACCTCTCATAAAGAAGGCCCATCCTCAAGTTTTAACTCAGAATCATTGGATAACCACTAGCTAGAGGCCAATTATTCTTATGGTAATCTAATTTTTGCATCTTCCCAAGACCTCTAGCACACCAGGAAAAATGCTTTAATACCTGAACTAAAGGTTTAACCCATGAGCAATTACTAGTATTGTACTTTTTTTTTAACAATGCTGTTAGATATAAATGACTGTTTCAGTTTAACTTTAATGCGAGCATTATGATTTAGATAATTTATGTAGCATGGATGTCATAGTTATTATTAGAAGCAATATTTAATGGCAAGTGTGTTTACATAACTGTTTATAAATCATTCATTGTGTGGTTCAATTGTTATGAATTAGCAACCGGTTACAATAGTGAGATTATTGCATCATGTTGCTAGAATTTTCTGAGTATCTCGGTTTAAATGAGTATTACTGCATCAGAATATCTAGTATTGTGTGGGATGTGCTAAACTTATGTCAGGTGATAACTATGCATAAAAAATTATTAATTAGTTCTAAACTGCATAATTATGTGTTTAGCAATAAAGAGTGTATAGTGGCAATTTTTAAAGTGAAATCATTACAGACTATATTGTAATAAAAGAGTAGAGAAGAATTATTTGTCTTGTCAATTGTGTTCTAAAATAATTGAACCAGCCCGTGTGGACTTGGACAAAAAAAAAAAGAGACAATTATTTAAACCTTTGGATGCAACTGTGATAACCAACAGTGTAACAAACATTTGTATATACACTCGATTTTGTTTTTAATACAAGCAGACTGTGTTGCAGTTTGTTAGTTGAAATTTATCAACAAGTTCACAGACACCTACTGTAAAGAATCCGGCCTTACAAAAGCTGACAAGTGCAAACTATAACATGATTATTACTGACACAATACTACAGATAAATGTTTAAGGTAACAGTTAATAGTATTTACTGATATTCAGTATTCTAATTTATTTTCTAACAAACAATTAAACACAAGCAGAAGTCCTGATATACTACATAAAACAGAACATGTTATGTACACTATATGTGACAATAAAATAAACTGTTTCATGGAGATACAAAAATACAGCTACGTGCATCTTTCATACATTAGAAAGTACTATCTCAAGACAATTTTATTTAACTAAAAATCTACAAAAGATAACTTTCTCTCACCAAGAGAAAAACATAACAAACCAGCATAAATTTAATTAAGAAGAAACTTAAATTTTATCATATCAGATATTTCAACAAAATACTTCTCATATATCTAAAATGTAGTACTGATATTTAGCAGTACATTTTTATGAAGTAAAAAAAACTTGTCTTTTTTTTTTAGAAGCAATTACAGTATGTAAAATAAGTAAATCTAATATCACTGTTGGCATTTGATGACATTTAGAGATTACATATATTTATTTTTTATTGGTCCATTAAGAATATTCTTCTTGCATGGCATGTTCTTAAAAGTAAGCTTTATGAAATACCTATGCCACTACTAATGTTATCTTGATGCATCCATTGTTAAAAAATCAAGCATCATTGTATGTATTATTTACTTAAGAAATACATTAAATAACAAGCCTGTATTATTTTTAATTCCCAAGCACTTAGAAGTTAAACAAGAAAACTGACACAACTATTTTTAGAAAGTGATTTAATTTGAGTTGTATATGTATGCTAATTCTTCTTAAGCTTTATATTTACTATTTATGTTACATTTATATCAACTAACACTTTTAACTTCAACTCCATGTTGAACCCTATCAAGCCTAATGTTATTTACTCAATATACTGTGCTAGCTTCCTAACATAAGTGTATATATAAATTTACTTGCTGGGTTGATAAAAAATGACTCACATTATTTAAATTTTCTATTTACACATTTTCAGATATAGAAAATTTACTGCTAAATATTTTTCAATAATAATAAAATCTTGTAATAAAAAAATATCAATTTGTAATAAACCCATGTATCTTGTGAACTTTATCTTGCTTTCTGTACCTGGTCGTACTCGACAGCTTCTTGTCTGTCTCCGAGACTGTACTGCATCAGCCGAGCTAACACTTCCTTCAGAGCTGTTTTCAGAACTTGTGCTTTTTACACGCTAAGAACAAAAATATCCTGTTATAGGAAGTTATAACTATTGTACTAACAAAAATTTCTGTGAAACAATATGCTCTTAACAGACTAATGCCTACCTACAATAGTGCATTTGTTCTCAAGGCAAACAATCTCTGAATTTCACAATAGCTTAGTAACTTATATATATTCCATGAAAACTGAAACAAAACCAATATAACATATATTTTGATACATCTGAAAGCAGAAAATGTTAATATTAATGTATTTTGAACTGCCACATACTTTAGAACATTTTGTATGATTCCTCAATTAGAATTATTCCTTTAGTTTCATTTGTTACTTAATCTAATACAAAATTAACTTCAAATAGTGATTTTTCTACATTTAAAAGCCACTCAGAAAAGCTGTTCTTTCAGCAGCTATTTTTTCCTGTGAATTTTTATTTAAAATCATTTGTCTGTTCAAGATAAGGAGACAATATATGTAAAGTGCAACATCACTTTGTAAACTTGGATCTCCTCTTGCACATAACCAGTAGTTCTGTAGGAATGTTATGTAAATCTCAAAAAGAGCATTAAAAAAATGTAAAGGATGCTACATTTTGAGTGACCTCTGTTACCTATCTTCAGATGAATGAGATCCACGTTCTCAATAGGCTATTGCAATCCTTATTTTAAATCTCTTCATTATTATTATGCAAAGGTTTCAATCCACAAGCCACTAGATAGACCTCCTTTAGAGTATTGTATACAGTTTTGGTCTACTTATCTTAGGAAGAACACCAAGTTGTTGAAGAGGATTCAAGGGGGGGGGGGGTTTACTAGTATTTTTCCAAGGATAAATGAGTTGTCAGATGAAGATAGGAAGAAATCTCTTAGCTTGTCCTCTCTTGAAAAAAAGAAGGGTCAGGGGTGATCTAATTATTCAATTTTTTTTATAGAATTGATAAGATTCAGGCATCAGATTTATTTTGTTTGTGTGTTGAATTCTGAAAGCAAAGGGACAAAAGGTCATAAATTTAAGATCTAGAAAGGTTAGATAGATTTTCTGTTGAAGCAGTTTTATTTCTTCAATAGTGTGATAAATACATGGAAGAAATTTCCATCTAGAGTGGTAGAAATTGCAACATTACAAGTACTGAAGAAAAGGGTTAATGACTGTGTGAAGAATCAAGGCTGGACATAGTGATTAGTTTTCTTTTTGTTGAAAAAGGTTACAAATCAGGGCATCCTTGATGGGCCAAAAAAGGTGTTTGAGGTCCAATAATTTATTTTATCATAATTATTTACATGTTTTATTTCTCTTTTGGTTGTTCTGTACACATACTAGTACAGTATATATCAAAACAATGAAACTTGGTAACTCTTTCAAAATAACAGTGAAATGTTTAATAGCATTAAGTACAGTGCTTAGAACCAAAACCATGAGAAGCTTGCTTATTGTTTAATAACTTACTTGTAGTGGAAATTCATCAATTACATTTTACATATATCTATATACTGCTATTTATATTATATTTTTTACTTACACTATATGAAAAAAGTTTTTCTAAATTTTATTTAATCAATCTAAGTGTGCAACAGGGAGAAACAACACATACTATGAAAACTTACCCGTCTTTTAGGCATCTTGTGTTAAGTTCATGTGCTCTCCTACAAATAATTAGAAAAACTGTATAGGTATATAGTCATCATCATCATAGACAGCAGTACATCGATAATTCTACCGATGCTTAGCTGCCACACAATCATGAATTATTATTACAAGAAAATGGGGACAAAAGTGGGATCTAACATGCCATGAATATGGAAA